CCTCCTCCCTTCTCCCTCCTCCTCCCTCCCCCATCCCTCCTCCCTCCTCCCTCATCCCGCCCCTCTTCCCTCCTCTCTGCTCTCCTTCTTGTTATTAGTAGTCGTATTATTATTCTGAATAGTGGTGCTCGTCGTATTCTTTTTGGTTTCATTCTTATTATTCTTAATAGCACTGTAATTCTTAGCATTATGAGTGGTATTATTATTCGCATTCGTAGTATGAGCGGTCTTCTGTTTATTAGTAGTAGTCGTATGTGTCTCATTCTGGATAGTAATATTAATACTAGTAGGACCTCTCACCTTGGCATTGTGTTTCGTTGTATTATTATTGCTAGTACTAGTAATATCATTGCTAGTAGTATTAGCAGTAGCATTCTTAGTGTTATTACTATTTGTATCATTCGTAGTATTACTATTAGTAGTATTGTTGGTGTTCGTGGTTTGTTGTTTCTTATTAGCATAACAGTATAGCTATCATTCCGAATATACTATGTATTAATATGATTCGTATGTGTAATCTTCGCGTTCGCATTAATATTATCAATGCTCGTAGTCGTTTAGTATTCGTACGCGTAGTGCTATTATGATACACATGATTATTATTATCATAGGTATTGGTATTATTACTGATATCATACTTAATATTCCTCCTCCTCATCATCAACATCACCAGCAACATCATCATCAGCAGCAGCAGCATTCTCATCACCAACATCACCATCATCATCAGCAGCATCATCATCCTCATCATGTTCATCATCATCCTCATGCTCATCCTCACCGTCGTCCTCATCCTCATCCTCACCATCTCATCATCATCCAGGGTTCGCCTCGCAATTGGAGGGGCTGAGCTCGTCGCAGACAGTACACGTACCCACGTCAACCAGCTCGCTGCCGATCACCGTGCACGGGCTCCTGGCGGTCGGGCGTCCGCTCGAAGCTGCACAGCGGCAGGAAAAAAAAAAACAGAAGCGGTCAAGGGCACGGAAAGAGGAGATGTGGAAATAGCAGAGCAGTAATTGGGGAGACGAGACAAGAGGGCTGGACAGGAATCGGGGTCGAAACACTTGGAAAACATGAAAAGGGAAGGAAAAGACAAAGAAACACTGCATGACAAGCCAGTGTTCCATGCGGGGTTTTGGTGCCTGCGCGGGCACTTTGTAACAAGGTGGTTGCAGCAAGCCATCTCACGTCCACAACACGCATAGACCAGTGCATCTCGCTCTTCAAACTAACTCATACACAGAATCGTGCGACTACTGACCATGCAAATCCCACCAACCCTTTCTGGCGGCAGGTGGTCTAAAGAGGGTTTCTTTCCTCTTCCACAGCCCCTTTTCCCTTCGGGGGGAATCCTCGCCCATCCAACCCCTGAGTTTTTTTTTGGGACGGGGCCACGACGAGTTAGAGCGTCCTTGTTCGGCCCCTGGGAGGGCCATTGTTTGCCACCCCATCACGAAGATCGTGGCCCCCGAAGGGGGGACGGAAATAAAACAACCCCCTCTTTTGATCGATAGCCTCCAAGATGACCCCAAGAGGGCCTCCAGGGTTCCCAAGAGAGTCACAAAAGGGCCCAAAGAGCGCCAGACGAAACCCGAAGAGGCCTCACAGAGGCACCCGAAAGGCCCCCAAGGGGCCCCCGAGCGGCCTCAGAGAGCCCAAGATGACCTTCAAGATGACTCAGATAGCCCAAGCTGTCTCAAGATGGCTCCCAAGATGCTCCACACGGCCCGAGCCTCCCAAGCCTCCCTCGTTGTTTGACCATGCGTGCCTCTTCCTCTCTCCCCCCATCAGCTCTCATGGGCATCGTCTCTGGATGGGCTGGCGGGGATACTGCATCGCTCAAGTTCGCGAGCGCGCAGAGGTGCCAGGCGCCGTCAAGAAACGCGGCTAACAAACAACGGCCTAAATTCCGCACCAGAGCACACAGGAGCGAGAGCTGGCGGGGATACTTTTTTCCGTCGCGGCCACAAGCCAAAGCGCCCGCAGCGGGTCGAGCAAGCTCGGGCACCGAGAGAACCGAATTGCCGGCGCACGCAGAGGAAAGCATACCTACCGCCGGGGGAAGCCGCTGCGCCGGGGCCGTGCTGCAGCTGCGCTGGGGGCCGTGCTGCAACCGCTGGGGCTGTGAACAGCGCCGAAGGTGGGGACTGAAGCTGCTGGGGCTGCCAGGAAGCTGCAAACGTGCGGGTACCATGGGAGCTGAATCACCAGGTACGTGAATTGGACCTTGTCGCCACAGGGCGCCGGAGGTCTGGGCAGCGAACCGACAGGAGACACGCCTGATCGTTCAAGAAGGCTGAATCACTCCTGAGAGAACCGGCGGATGCTGGTGGGGATACTTTCTGCTCGCAACCGCGAGCGGACAGCCGCGCGGCGTCGTAGAATCGCACGAAGGCCTAAATCACGGCCAGGACCGAAGCCAGGCACGACAGCGGGCGAGCGCCGAAAATTGCAGGCGAGGCGGTGGGCAGCTAGCCGGATGGCGACCAACATTGCACGGGGACAGAGCCGAAGCAGAGCGCGGGCAGCGAACGGCAGCGAAAATGGCAGCTACGCACCTGGCCTCAAACGCCGCTCAGAAGCCGGGGATAACCGAGTCCAGGCCCAACTGCGACATCGACGTCCTCGACGAACCTGACCACGTCTAAGACATAGCGCGTGCCAACGCGGGAAAAACGCGCCGCCGCCGTCAAAAAAAATATCGAAACCACACCGCTCAGGCGGGCGGCCTCCGAATAAGCGCCAAACCTCTGCGCCTAAGGAAACTCCACTCGGCGAGGCGCGCCGTCAGAGGCGCATCTGCAAATGAGAGGCCCTTGCGCTTCCTTCGCAGCAGCCAATGTCACATAATAACACCAGGTGGCGCGCCCGCGCAGCTCCTGCGGGGGGCAGCCGCAAGACGGTGGACTGGCCAGACAGCTCGGAAAAAGATCGATGCATCTCCTGGCACGCGCGCCCCAGAGGGAGCGCTGAGGGTCAGGGCCGCACTGCGAGTAGGGTAGCAGCTAACAGCTGCAGAGAAATCGCTGCCATACTGCAAACAAGGTCGCAACTAACAGCCGCGGAATCAAGGGCGGCCCGCGCGCCCCCAGCGGGAAGGCAGCCGCGGGAGGCGGACGGGACAGTCGATCCATGATGTTTGTTGTCAGCTTACCCCGGCGCCCCGGGGGGGGGGGCGCCGGGGCCACGGTGCACCGCGGCGGTCGCGCATACATGATGAAGGCGGGCCACACTGCTGAGGGGGGTTGCGGCTAACAGCCGCAGAGGCAGCGAGGAGGCGCACGGGCCTGAGCACCACCCGCGGGGGGGCGGCCGCAGGAGGAGGACGGACGAGTCGGCCGAATGAGTCCGCGGCGCGCAGGCACTAGCGCCCCAGGGGGGGCGCAGAGGGCGCGGGCGCAGCGCGAGTGGCGTTCGCAGCTAACAGCCGCAGAGCAAGTAGTGGCACGGTGGACCCAAGCCTCCTGCGAGGGGACGTCTGCACGAGGAGGGGCGGCCAAGGCGGCGAGGGGGGGCGGCCAACAGCCGCAGTCAGCGCGAACAAGGAGAGAGGCCGCCAGGCGGGAATCTGAAGGGCGCAGGCCATCAAGCCAGATGGCCAGCGCCGGCCAGGCGCCAGCGCGCGGGGCAGCGCGGGGCTGCAGAGAGCGCCGCAGTGGGCCCAGCAGCGACGGGGGCCCGCGCGTCGGGGGGCCGATCCCCGAGCCGCCTGCGGCGCGCCAGAGGGGCGGCAATCATGCAGGGGGGGGAGAGGCCGCAAAGTGGCGCCCCGCAGGGGGCTCTACGGCCTCGGACGAGCCGGCCCCAGCTGGGCACGCCCAAGGCGGAATTGGCGCACGCGGAAGGGTGCGCAGGAGGAGCCGACCAGCCTCGTTGGCCAGGAGGGGTTGGGCTCCGCGAGGCACACTGATGCACGGCGCGGGGCGTCCGCGAGAGTCGTTGCGCGCGCCCGCCTGCGCGGACTGGGCGGGACTTGGGGGTGCAACCAGGGTTGGCGCGAGCCCACTGCCCTTCGGGGCCCCACCGTCCTTGTCCAACGGGGGTCGCTGTCTTCGCGGGGCCCCTTGCCTTTGGCCTTGCCAAGGGTGCCCGCGGCCCTAGCTCTGTCGCTGAACCGAGCGCGGACTGCGCCCCAGTTGACCCCCAGACGGAGCGCTGCGTCCATCTTGGACACATCGAATTTGTGACTGGCCCATTCCGCGAGGAAACGCACGCAGAAATCGGGGTGCTGGCGCGCGGGGCCAGCGCTTATGCGGCCTGACGGCGGGGGGCATTTGGTCGTCCATTCGCGCCATACTCCGTTGAAGTATTCACCCAGGTCTCTCTGAAGTCGCTTCGCGGCCTCGGCAGGAGCCTCGCCGACGGGGTTCAGGATGTCGACTCGCTCCAGCGGAGCGTTGTAGATGTAGAGCCCCGTGTCCGGGTCGCATAGGTCTCGCGGGAAGTCGGTTTGCGCGCTCTCGCGGGATGGCCAGGCGCCTGACCAGGGAGCGGGAAGGTCGTCGAGGATGGGGGCGTGCGCACGCGCGGGCCGACTCCAGCGGTCGTCGACCCCCCAGCTGGACCACCCCGCCCAGTCTGTCCAATGGCCGCCGCATGGGGCTGCCGCGGCTGGCCTCGCGACGCCGACGCGGGCGGCGCTCGCGCCACCCTTCGCCCCAGTCAAATTCATCCCGCGTCGCATTGACAGCTCGGGGTCGCCGGGGGACGCTAGGGGAAGGCGGGGCCCCTCGGTCTGGGAGGCGCGCGAGGCCCCTGTCATCTTGCCCAGCCAGCACACGGGAGGCGCATGGACGAACGACGGGCGAGGCGGGGCTGCAGGACTTGTCAGCTGCCTCGGGGCTGCCGAAGGAGTCAATCTGCACGACCAGGGGTTCCGAGCTCGGGGTCGGAGGCAGGGCCGCGGGCGCCCCTTGGCGGCCCCCGCGCGGGGAGGGTTTGCCGTCGTGGGAGCCAGCCCCCGAGGCTTCCGAGCCAGCGCCCCCGCGGCCGGCGGCATCGTCGCCTCCAGCGGCGAGAGGGAAGCTAGCCGAGTTGGCCGCTTGGTGGGGGGGCGTGCTCGGGGCTACTGCGTCGATGACAGATGTGCCAGCGGTTGGGCTCGCAAGACGTGGGTGGCCATCATCAAGGGGGCGAGAGCTGGGCCCACGGGCGCAGGGAGGGCCGGCGTCGCTCCGCACTGGCGCCGCGGGGGAAGGCACCACCTCATTGCCCCAGTCAGGGTGTTCGGGTGCGCGGGCGGCAAAGGTGTGGAATTGCGCCGGTGGGTCTGCCGTCTCAGTGCGTTGTGTCGCTGTGCCCCCTGATAGGGGCGGCGTCAATCTGTCTGCACAGGTCCTGCGCGATCACGAAGGGGACGTCCTTATGACGCGGTGGCGAGTTTATCTGAATTGACCTGCGTCAAGAGACCAACGAAGGCTTCCAGGGCGCGGCGAAGAGGGGAAGGACCGCGCACGGGCCATTGACCGGCGCGCTGGAGCCATCTGGGCAGCATGGCGGGGTCGGTCGAGTGGACGCAGAGGCGTGCGACCACGCGGGCGGCGGCTAGCCGCTTGCCTTGCCAGCGGAAGTCGTTGGGGAGGTCGGTCGGCGCCACCAAGTCGCCGTAGAACCTCTCCATGAGGGGGCGCAGTAGGGGTGGGCCCCAGCATTCGGGGGCCTCGGAGCCCACCACGCCCCTGCCATCCTCTGCGGTATATTCTTTCCACTGGTCGTCCAAAACTGGGTCCACGTCACATAGGAAATCGACCAGTCTGACCTCGATGGGCCCAGCGTTCAAGCAGTTCCGTTCCGACTCCGCGGCGGCCTCCAGGTGGTTGATGTCGATGCGTTACAATGCGGGCCCTTTGGGGGTCCACAGTACGTAAGAGGTCGCGCACTTCCTCGGCCCCGCGCGCTGTGGGGGGGCGTCC